AGGGTGGTGGACTCCCGGATGGCCCACTGTGGTTCAAGTTCTGGACCTGGTGGCTTGCTTTCTCGACTTCTCTCTCTCTCTCTGTCCCTCTCTGGTCAAAGTGGAATGAATGAATGAATAAAGTTAAAAAAAAAAATTCTTTTTTAAAAAAGAACAAAAGAAAAAAGAGAGAGAAACACCATTCTAGGGAGAAAGTGCAACCGCTTTCAGACACCTGTAACTCCCCTGCCCTCCAGCTTCCGCTCCTCACACAGCTGCTGGGCGCTTTGGAATTGAACTTTCTTTTTTTTTTTTAAAGAATTAGTTCTTATTTTATTTATTATTATTTAATTGGACCAGAGAGAGAAAGCAAGAAAACAAGCCACCAGGTCTGGGACTCGAACCACGGTCAGCCATGTAGGAGTCCAGCACCCCACACCACATGCCAGCCCCTGAACTGGACTTTCAATATCGTCCCTAACACTTGCAAGTCGGGTGGTGTCGCTGAGGCCTCTGGAGGTGATTTGCATAGAGGCTCCCAGCCAGGAAGTCTCAGGGTTGTATCTTGAACCCAAGTCCCTCTGGCTCGGGATCCCATGGTCACACCTTTTCCAAAAATCAGAAAAGGGGGGGCCAGGAGGTAGCATGGTGGTTAAGGCTCTGAACTCCCACCTGGCCAACTGCAGTTCAAGTCCCAGACCCAGCAGCTTGAAAACCACACCAGGCGCATGTGCGTGCATGCCCCAATTCCTGAGAGGAGAATGGAGGAGAAGGGATTGCCACGTGGCCATCCCCCCTGAGGGGTGATTTCTCGCTTTCCCTCTTTTTGTCTCACTCCATCTGTCTCTGGCCAGCACACACACCCTATGGCAAAAACCTGAAAAACAAAACAAAATGAGAAGCAGGGTGGAACCGTCCCTGCCTCCGTTTCCCGTGGGCAGCAGGGGCCCAGGGGCAGGTGGGGCTGCAGGTGTCCCAGGGCAGGGAGACCTGGCCGGCCTTGGGAAACGAGCATTCGCAGGGCCTCTGGGGCCCACAGGTGATGCGGGCCAGTCAGGCCTGGCCCTCTCGGCGCTGCAGGACGCTGGTCTCGTCTGTCAGGAGACTGGGGCTGCAGTGGACACGTCGGCATGGAAATACAGCTCTTCACCCCTGGGCATCCGGGGCTGTGTCCACTTGCCAGGCAGCTCCCCCTTGGCCCTGCGAGCCTCTGAGGCTACCCTGCCTTGTGCCAGGCATGACCACATGGGGTTTCTGGGGCCTCGGCTGGGGTGCATAAGAGCTAGCCCGGCAGGATGGCTGAACCCGACAGAGCGCATATTGGAGTCCCAAAGCCCCAGTTCATGCCCTGGGACCTGGCTGCCCGGCCAGTCTCAGATCAGGGCTGGGAGGGGTCACCGTGGGGCTCTGCCTGTACCCTTCTCTCCAGCAAATGCGTGTGTCCACCCGTGTTCCGGATGGCACAACTCACATAGCCACCGGGCCCCCTGGTGCCCTGGCGCCCCGCAGGAGGGCCCTGGGGTCTCACCCTGGGCCTGCATGCCCGGGGGGCAGCCCAGTCCCCAGAGACTCTCAGCACTCGACTCAGGGGCTCCCCTGGGAGCCCCGTCTACCCACAGCAGCACCGGGGGGGCTCCGTGTCTCCACCTGGACCTCTGGTCCCACTCCTGCCCCGTCAGACCCTCAGGGCTGCTCTGAGGAGACCCATAGGATGATGCTTAACTCGGGCCCCGGATCCGAGCCTTCCAGCCCCAGGAGCTGGCCAGGCAGCTGCGGGGCTGAGCCGTAGGGGAGGGCCTGAGCGTGGTGTCCCCATCTGGGGCAGCCAGGGCTCCCACTCTGGTGTGGGGACCCGCTCAGCCACCCAGGGCCATGCACACAGTGGGGCTCAGTGCACACAGTGGGGCTCAGCCTTGTCATGGGACTCAGTGCACACAGTGGGGCTCAGCCTTGTCGTGGGACTCAGTGGTGCCAGCGCCTGCTTCTGCGATCTGACCCCGATGGCCGGTGCAGGGGGCCCAGCCCGGTTACACCAGGGAGCGTCGACAGAGTGCGCGTCATCTGCCTGCGTCCGCGGGCACTGGGAGGGGCCCCAGGGCCTTAGTGTGAGTAGTGACTGTGTAATACCGGAAGCCACTCTCTGTGCCTGTTTCCCCATCCGTAAAACAGGGCCCGCCTCGAGGGCAGGGAGCTGGGATTGAACTTGTAAGCACCAGCTCTGTAGTTGGCCACAGAGGTCGGGACTGTAGCTGGGCCAGCGAGGGGCTGGCTTTGTACTGGGTCTTGACGGTTGTGTAGGAGCTCACTGCTGCGAGGCGTTTCCCTGGCAGTGGCCCGTGGGCGGGCTCTCCCCGGGCTGCACTGTGTGGTCCAGGAGCTGGGGTGGGGGCTCGGGGAAGCCTGTCTTACAGGATCCCTGTAATGCAGCAGGGGGAGAGGCAGCCCCTGCCCCGGGGCCTGCAGGAGGCCCTGAGCCGTGCTTAATCTGGCGTTTAACTGAGTGCCAGTTAGCCACAGGGGCGCACAGCCACTCCGCACGTCCACCTAGAGCCCACGGGAGTGGGAAAGGGAGGTCTGGGGGCTGTGTCACCCTCTCTTTTCCCCGTGTGCCCCAGGGGTCCCCGTGTGAAGGAATGGGGTGCAGCCTGACTGAGGCGAGGATGCTGAGGGGGCTCCTAGTGCTGGGGGAGGGAGGAGAGAAGTCAGGTATGTCCTTCGCGTCAGGTGCCTGAGGGGTGATGTGGCCTCCCCGAGGCTGGTCCCCAGGGCGGCGTGGCTTTAGGCCTTGCAAGTTAGGAGGCTTTGGGCAGGTGGGAGGGCGGGCCCTGTGGGCAGGGGCCACCATGGGGGACTGTCATGAAGAGTAATAGATGGAAGCTCCGCAGGGCCGTGGGAGAGTCGTCAGGGGCTGTGGGGGTGCAGAAGGGAAGGAGGGCCGAGTCGGGAACTCGGGGACCCTGGCCCATGGGGCTCTGTTGCCATGGTCACAAGGGCTTGGTTTCCTGGCTGGCCCATGAGAGCCCACACCACCCCCACTCTGCTGTCTGTGAACTTCAACCACGGTGGGTGAGGCCCCCGAGAAGCCGGGTGCTCTCAGCCCTCATCGGGGCTCCCTGAGCTCTGCCCCTTCCATTCTTCCGTCTCAGCCCTGCCCCAGCCTGGGCTGAGGTGGGAGAGGGTGGCCCAGATCCTGTGGTCATAGCAGAAAACCCCAGCTCACGGTGCCTGGCCCCACAGAACTGGGGTTTTAGAACTTGTGATAGAGAGGGGACCAGCAGATGGCGTCATGGCTACGTCACTGGACTCCCTTGTAGTTGACCGCAGTTCGAGTCCTGGACCCGGTGGCTTAAACTCACACCGGGCGCATGTGCGTGCGTGCCCAAGATCTTGAGAGGAGAAGGAGAAGGGATTGCGGCGTGGCCATCCCCCCCTGGAGGGGTGATTTCTCACTTTCTGTCTCTGTCTTTCTGGTGAGCACACGTGCCCTATAACAAGAAAAAAAAAAAAAAAGAATTTCTGATAGAGAAGCCTTTGACAGGGCCTTGTCATGCTCCCCTCTTTCTCCGCCCTCCCCTCCTCAGGCTCTTGGGCACATGTGCCTGTGTGTTTCAATCAACTAGGACGGGGATCCGAACCCATGGTTGGCCATGTGGCTCCCAGCTCAGCAGTTCAGTGTGTTAAGGACTGCTCCCCCCAGTGAACTGGCTCATGGGAGTAAGAAGTTTGGGGGTGTCACCTTCAGGCACAGCTGGATCCAGAGGCTCTGACAATGTCATCAGGGCCTCACAGCCCTCAGGCTCTTGCCTCGTGGTGACAGGTGGCCTCAGCAGCTCTGGGCTGGGTCTGGGCCCTCCAGCACCTCCATCGCCCCTGGACCTCGAGTTGCTGCCCTTTCTCATCAGTTCTGCAGAAGTCCCAGAGCTGAGTCTCACGGGCTGACCTGGGGTCATGTATTCTCTCTTTTCTTGGAGAGGTTTTTGCTATAGGGCACGTGCTCTCGCCAGAGACAGAGAGACAGAAAGTGAGAAATGGTGCACCCCCCCAGGAGGGGATGGTCACGCTGCAATCCCTTCTCCTCCATTCTCCTCTCGGGATCTTGGGCACTCACGCACACGCACCTGGCGTGAGTTTAAGCCACCGGGTCCGGGACTCAA